AAGAAGGAATCCGGAAAAAGCGAAGTCTAAATTCTCCTAAACTGATCCCAGGTCATTTGCAAAAGGCCTCCGTCAGGAACCCCCTGGAAAGACACCCTTGGGTCCACATTTATATCTCCATCTTGAAATGGATCATATCATGGACAGCTTCGATTGAGAGTGACCCCTCCCCTGGCCATTGACAAACACCAGATAGCAGAGGTGGAAGAGAAGTGGTCTGGTTGGCCTCCATATTAGAAACATTAACTCGGGAATTCGTATCCTTCTGCATGTTGTTTTTTTGTTAAAGTAATTTACAGATATAAACAAAGATATAACCATCGTAATGCCAACCACGTTCAAAGTCACAATTTAAATTGTGAATAATCACAACACTCCTATTTATAGAAACCCATGGCAATTGCTTTGTGGAGAAAAAGTGATTACATTATCTGAATTAGGTGCTCATATACAGTAACTAGATAAAGGGTGAAGTTGGTGGACAATTTTGCTAATTAGAATTTGCAAAGGGGATTCGAGCAGGGTATAAAGGACTGGAGCAAGCATTTTCAATGCTTAGATGGGCAAAAGAGTGGAAACCCTGGAGATTGAGAAATAGCTATAGTGTCAGTGGAGGTATGTTTTGGAACAACTGATTATGTATCATAAGTTTTTACACGTTACTGATAAAATAATTACATCATAGATTTTGGATATCAACTTTACAAGTTGGATGTCAAACTAATAAATATCAGAAGGAAAAACTGGTCCAGCATCAAAATTTATAAATGTATAACTTGCATTTCTCAATTAAGGACAAAAATAAACTAATAATGGAGCAAAAAGTTTAGATTAAAAATTGGCCATTTCCTTTACTTGGACATTCCACAACATGTTGTAAGATCATACAAGCTCAGACTTGTGCCATTACAGAAAAAAAAACAATCAGCTCACTTAAAGTACAGCACTACCAACCTAACCATCTTTCAAAAAAGTCTACTAACAACTCCAGCCTGTTTGAATCTAGAAATATAGCTATTTATATTATCCTTTAGTAATTTAGCAACACAGTAAAATGAAAATTAAACACACATACACAGACATATATATCACAAGTTCAAGCCTTTTCTTTGCTTAAAATGATCTTTCACTTCTCTTAGCCATATCACTTCACACCAAATTTGTTTTTAGCATTATTTGAATAATATATAACTGCAATAATGATCCCACAATCAGCGAAATAAAAAAAAATTAAGTAATGTTGTGTACCATATATATGTAACAAATATTTTTCACAATATTATTCTAAACATACTTACGAATGCCTGTGATCAATGGCCAAATCCAAACAGTTGTTACCATTGTTATCTTTCTGAGCAATATTTGCACCCCATGATAAAAGTAACTTCACTACTTCTGCATGTCCTTTTTCAGCTGCCAAATGAAGTGGAGTGGTCTGCAAGAATCATGAAGAGAAAAAAAGTTAATTTAAATGAGCTTATATATTTTCTAATTCACTGCATCTCACATGTTTAAAGGTGTTTTGTTTTATTGTTTCCACCAGTTAATAACTTTTAGAACATGACCAAATTAGATCTTGACATTTTGCTTAGATATACTGACAATTCTTTTGTAATATGTCCACAGACTACAGACAAAATTCCAGATTCAAAAGCCACATGAACAGACAATATTCACAATGGAATTACAAGATAAAAAGCTCCCATTCCTAAGTGGAATGTTTACCAAAAATACAACTTTGGATACCACAAGAGTGTACAGGATACTCACAGATACTCCAACAATATAAAGATGGATGTTACATGTATAAGCTGCCTAATCTGCAGAATTAACAAATTTTTGTAATACAGGAGATGCTAAACAGGAGTTAAAATACAACACTACAATTCTTCTTGACAATGGATATCCTGAAGAACTTAGCCAATAAAGAAGACAAACATTAAAAATAAGTACAAAGAAAACTTCGTACACATAGCCATATTACCCTATATCAAAGGTCTCTCTTAAAACATACACAATATACTGTAGCAGTATAAGTCAGAACAGCATTCAAAATCTACACAACATAATATGATTGCAATTAATACACAGTAAACATCTTAACTCATTGACTGTGGCTGCTCTAAATGCACACAGAATTTTTGCAAGATGTACACCACACATAGCACATTGGCATTCGATTGCCAGACGAGGACCTTACCCTATATGGCGAATCAGAAGCATAATACAGATACAAAACTCTGTAATATTGATTACAATGCAACAGCTCATCATGTAAAATAGGATGAACATACCATAAAACTGACTATTAAAATAATCAGATATGAATCATACATGAGAAAAAAAAAGGATCAAAGAAACTTTCTACATCCACCTAACTGATAACATACTCAGATAATCTAGCATGAAAATCTGAATACCTATACCTATCATGAAGCCATTAAAATAATTATTAGATTCAAAAGTGCTATTAATGAGGAGACACTGGATAACACATCAGCTTTTCTAACAAGACCCTGACATTGCCACCATACAGTACTTCTCAGGATTTCCCTGAAGATGGCAGCAGACTGGTTTTTATAGGATATAAAACAATAATAATAAAAAATAATTAACTAATTAATAAATAGAATTACGTGATAATATAGGCTATTATAAACCCTGACAACAATCAATATCCAATTACCATAGTATTAATATAATTATTAAATACTAACTTTTCATGTATTAAATTCAAAACTTGTTTGTTCTTGAATTATGCTATTTACAGCAACTTAATACAAACTTCTTGGTACTTAAACAATAATATGTACAGTTACTGCAGAGTTCTTTGTTCTTCAACTGCATCATGAACAGGTACTAAACATAAAATGCCTTGTAACGAAATAGTATTTTAGTGCCATTATATTTACAAGAATATTTGTTTAACAGTTTCTGGCATTTGAGGTTTTTAAACTTGTGTTGTATCAATAAGCAGTAAAGAAATTTGTAGCTAACTAACATACTTTGAGTGGTTCAACTCATTACTCACTTTTTTTCTTTACTGTATTACAAAGCATTTTTTATCTTACATTCTTTTCTTAACTGTCTGTGTATGCCATCTCTACAATATATATATAAAGAATATAACATGCTTATCTAATCATTCGTATGATGTCACTGTTCAATATACTTGTTTGCTTCTACTGTAACACTGAGGTAGAATACCCACACTGAAAAAATAGGAAAAAGCATCGTTCCAAATCCAAAGGGGATTTCATTAAAAAATAAGACTGGCACAGAAATAAAAATTGGTAGCTGCTGTCCAATCCATAATCAAAGTAAAAAGATACTGCTTAGAAAGAATATCTATTGAATCTACAGTAAGAAAGATACTGACAAAATTAGGAAGACGTTAACAGGAACTAAGAAAACCATTGGAATCAGTTAAGTGCTTTAAATGCTGGGATGGCTGCAAACTCTGATGACTGAATTCTTCCTGCAGGGCAGGAATAGAAACAGGTTTAAGTTCCATCTTCCCCAAAGTAAAAGAAAAAAGGTTCCCTGAAGAGCCCGAGAAAGAAGATTCATACCATGAATCATCACCTGTGTTGTAAGGGTAATGAGCAAAAGCACTATCACCCTCTTTGGGGCTACAGTCTCATTCAACTGAGTACAGATTTGCCTAATTCAACAAGGGAGAGGCACATGGTAATATGTATGAAGGCTAAAGACTCTTCAACCAAACTTTAACAGCTGAACGAGAAATTAGTTGAATTCTAAGAAAGAGAATTAAAAACCTAGCAACAGAAAGTTAGAAGTTAACAATTCCAGATATTAGGTGGCATAATGAATGCATGAAGTACCAAAAGAAAATGTGACAATATCTGGTAATGAAGTCATATAGAGATAGTACTAGATATTGTCACCTAGCAATAGAAAGTTAGAAATTAACAATTCCAAGGATATTAATTCCAGATATTAGGTGGCATAATGAATGCATGAAATACCAAAAGAAAATGTGACAATATCTAGTAATGAAGTCATATAGAGATAGTACTACATTATGAAAAATAGGTCTATGAGTTTGGCAACAGGATGTCAAATCATGTGAAGATACAGAATTATTTTACACAGAAGAAAACCAATTTTTGTAATCACAATGTAAACATGAAACTACACATACTATAACTCTGAATGTAGTAAGTGTATCTTCACAAAATTTGTCAAACTTTTAGTAAACATTACAAATATGCTGTGTACAAAAAAATTATTTTTTATAAAGTATTTTACTAAAGATTTGTTTGTGAGTATACAAATCCATTACTGAGTCAGTCTGAGTGAAAGGTGATTTTAATGCTACAAATAAAAAAAACTTTTTTTCTTACAATTTTAATATCTCATTTTGATAACCTGTAGGATATCCTAAATGAATATCAAAAGTTTTTTTTTGGGAAAAAGGTTATAATTTATTTCTTATTATCTCTATCCTAACACTAAATGTAGTGAACTCATCAATGTATAGTAAAATAAAAAAGTTGAAAAATACAAAATAAAATTAATGATACTTTTTCTTTTCTAGAATGACTGCAGAGTGTAACAGACAATTACAATTAATTATTGTAATAGCCTCAGCTTCTAACCTATTAACAGCTGCTTTCTTATAATTTTATGGTTTTATTACTGTACTATGGGTCCTCTCTCCTGTTTGAAGAGCAATAAATCACACCAAGAGAGCTTAGGCTAAACAAATAATCAGGTTTTAATGCAGAATGCACATACCATGAGCTTCCCTATCAACTGATCCCATGAATTAATTTTATTTAAGTTTTGTAACTTAACCTAAGAAGTTCCCAATTTTCAAATTCTAGTTATTTTTGTTAAAAACATATAATAATAAAGAGAAAATATACGTAAAAAACAAAAAACTTAACACTTACTTTAGATGTTGAGACAGTTTGTTTTTAAGAAGCCATGCTTTAGTAATCCTACTTTTTTTCTCACTATGTTAGTAGTCCAAAAATAATTCATGTAGATTTCAAATATGTATCTTAGAACACCAAAAATATATCAGGCACTAGAACAGAATGTCCCAAAACTACTACAACAATTTATTTGGCTTTCTAACTAAGCTATAAATAGGTTTAATAAATTCCATTACAGTTTGTAGCAATGACTTTCCTCAACACATGTGAATCTTTTCTTGCAAACTATTGTCTTTGACTGGACTAAGCAAATGAACTTAAGATTACAATATGCTCTTTCTATTGGTCATAAAGGTGTGAATGAATAATTGGTTTGAAATAGATAAAAAGATATGAAGTGCTTCTCTGGTAGATTTGACAAATTTATTAATATCTAAACAAGTCAAAAATATGAGGTTCAAATTTTATATTCTTACTTGTTGATACATGTATTTTATGTTCATAATTGGTTAGGCACTACAGAAGCTGCATTGTTGAAGTTATAAAAGTGAAGATTGAGAATTTGTTAAAACTATTTCCTTTTGAATTTAAAAGTTACATAACATTAAAATTTGATTTAAAAAGTATGTTATGATGCCAAGTTTATTGACATACATTGATAATAAAATTGTTTAATTAAATTTTCTACATAACTCTGAAAAAGGCCATGACATATGCACTACATAGGGTTAACTTAAGATTATAATAGAGGTATATTATAAGCATTTGACACTTATGTTGATTATTCGTTGTGAAAATATATTGTAGCTTTGACTGAAAATAATTCTATTTTAATAATGTGTATATTAATAGAATGAAACTATTAGTTGGATGACAAAGTAATTCAACGTTGATATAGAGATATCAGAAGATTTTTACAAGAACGAGAGTAATAATATAAGTAGTTTGTTATTACTATAGCATTGAGATACTGTTTAAACTTTACATGTTATGCTATACACCATTTTATAGTTTATATATTGTCTGATCTCAGAACTGCAGCTAAAAATAAGACTAAAATGTTGTGTACTTCTATGTATTGGTTTGTTTTGAATTTCATATGAAGCTACTCAAGAGCTATCTATGCTAGCCATCCCTAATTTAGCAATAATAGACTAGAGGAAAGGCAGTTAGCCACGGTTAACTCTAGGGTTACTCTTTTATCAATGAATAGTGAGAGTGTCCATGACATTATAATGCTCCCATGGCTGAAAGGGCAAACATGTTCGGTGATGACGATTCAAACCTGTGACCTACAGATCGCACTAGAAGAATGTATAGGCATTGTTAAAATTAAGATTATTTAAAGTTAAATAAACCTATTTTTATTCTTGGAAGAAGTGAACCTCAATGATTGGTATTGTTCAATTATGAAGCATATGAAAATAAACTGTTACAGTTAAAATATCTGATATCTTCAATATGTTATTAATTCATTCTCTTACAGTAAATGTTTGAGTCAACTGCTAGTTTCCAAAACATCCATTTTAAAAGAATAGTAATTAATTATATGAAAACATGTGATTAATGTTTTGAGCTGATTAAACTTCCTATAAAAGAAAAGCTCAGATTGATAAATCAATACTTTGGTTTTATCCATTGGGTCAACAGGACAACCAGCTTTTAGAAGAATCTTTGTAGTCTTCACCCAACCAGAACTAGCAGCACAATCTAAAGGTGTCCACATGTAGCAATTTCTGAAATATCAGAATTATTAGAATTACCCTTTCCTTACCATAAAATATTCACAATTTCAATGCTATGGGTACAAAATCATTAAAAGGTAGATATACAGATAGACCTTAATGTCTGCCGCACAAGCGAAAATATGTATTTTTCTTAATAAGAAATAAGTAGTTGTTCATCTTTTAATTCTAACAAGTCATACACATACATAGTGATATAAATACTGAATAGTTTTATGAATACAGTAAAACATTTAATAAATGTAAAGAATAAATTATTTTCTTTACACTTATAGCCACCCTTTGAGTTTAACTACATCTCAGTGCAGTTTAAGATACAGAAAACCATTAACATTTACATCTGAGTTGTCCATCTACTAGCAGCTCACAAGACATTTTCCAATGGACTTGCAAATATGAGGCAAAGGTTAAAAATAAATAAATAAACAATGAAGTTAAAAACAGAGCTTATTTGAGGTTTAATTGCTTAATGTTTTTACTTAGTACTTTATTACTCTGGCAAGTAATACTGATAAAACCTGAGTAAAGCCACGATACAATATTTTCATTGTTACTTAGCCCCTAAGACTACACTCAAAGTATTATATGTGTGACTCATCAATACCTTAAAGATGACTGATACTACTTCTACAGGATAATGGATGTAAAATTAAAAACACTAATGGATAAATTCTACACAAAATGGATACTGGTGTTTTAAGCATTTTAATCAATGAGAAGAAAACATAATATGAAATTTAAATTCAGGTAGAATACAGACATATAAAAGAGTAATGACAGATAACTGAACCAACTTTACCTAGCTTCTACATTGGCTCCAGCACTAAGGAGCAGCTTGATTACTTTGTCATGTCCAGCTATAGCTGATATGTGGAGGGGAGTGTTAGAACTTTCATCCTCATCATTCACCAAGGTCTTGTCTTCTGCAACGATTGCTCGCACAATACTATGTATAATAAAAAGAACTTAATTACATACCTCTGCAATACTTTTCATGTTTTATTATTCATTAAAACAATATAAGGTCAAAAGAAATATATGCTTTGTTAAACAAAATTACCAAGCATAACAATGAAATATAGGTGTTACAAAATTAAAAAAAAAAGAAACAAGTCTAGGAGAATTGCATATAATATCAAAGATCAACATAAGTGAAGCCAAATCATATACCACTACCACCACATGGAAGAACAGAAAAAAAAAAAAGAGACATAAATAGCAATAGTAATTTTCCAACAGATAGCGATGAATAAGTATAAAATGTGCAGTCAACCCAATCCTTTGGATCAGAGCATATTGCAATATGATTGTCTAGTGGACCATTTAGAACTGTCTCATGTCATTCCATGTATTATTTCAATAAGGAAAATTGCATTGCATTTGTTTTCAAGCGAAGGAGACTGACTACAAATCACTGTTGGCAAACATGCTTGGGTTTTGATGTAATGTGCAATGGGTATACCCAGCACAACAGAGCACTTAGCTCACGAATGTATCTAATACCCACATGGGAAAAAAACAAGATAAGCCAAACAAAAAGAAATATATACTCAAACATGTTCCTCCCTTTATGTGTTTTTTTTCCGTTCATGCTCCTACATTCAAAAATATTTCTTTCAATCAGTTAAGGAAGGAAGTTCCATTTTTTTTGTGAAATTTCCTCACAAAAAGAAACATTTTTGTTTTTAATAAGTTTCGTCTCAGATCGACCATTCAACACATATGAAGACTGACAGGTCAATGTTGATACCAATATAAAATTTTAGGAGTTGCAAATAATGAATAAGTTTCACTTTTGATATATAATTTTTCTTTCTATGATTAACCATGCAGGAGACAGACATTTAGTTTTATAATGAAATAGTATTTTAGTGCCATTATATTTACAAGAATATTCATTTAACAGTTTCTGGCATTTGAGTTTTTTAACTTGTGTTGTATCAATAAGCATACTTTGTAACATACTATGAGTGGTTCAATCCATTACTCACTTTTTTTTCTTTACTGTATTACAAAGCATTTTTCATCTTACATTCTTTTCTTAACTGTCTGTATATGCCATCTCTACAATATATATATAAAGAACATAACATGCTTATCTAATCATTCGTATGATGTCACTGTTCAATATACTAGTTTGCTTCTACTGTAACACTGAGGTAGAATACCCACACTGAAAGAATAGGAAAAAGCATTGTTCCAAATCCAAAGGGGATTTTATTAAAAAAAAAGACTGGCACAGAAATAAAAATTGGTAGCTGCTGTCCAATCCATAATCAAAGCAAAAAGATACTGCTTAGAAAGAATATCTATTGAATCTAAAGTAAGAAAGTTACTGACAAAATTAGGAAAATGTTAACATGAACTAAGAAAACCATTGGAATCAGTTAAGTGTTTTAAAAAATATCTTAGTTTGTAGTAAAAATATCTAAAGAAAGTAAAAGAATGCTGGGACGGCTGCAAACTCTGATGACTGAATTCTTCTTGCAGGGCAGGAATAGAAATAGGTACAAGTTCCATGATTAACCATTCAGGAGACAGACATTTAGTTATTACATTTTGTATATATTTAGCTTACAAGTGTATATACAAACACAAGAATGAACTTTATCACTGAATTAACAGCTGTATATTTTCTTTTTAAACAACACCTAAGTAACTAAGCATGTTACGGTATTTTGAGTTAGGTTTTCTAAGAATTAGTCTAAAGCACTTAATTCTGTTGCCTTATACTCTATTATATATAAAAGAGAAAAAGCTTTTAATTTTTATCTCTGAAATACATAAAAGTAATACAAAAGATAAACAATATTTATAACAGATGCGAGAAGAATAGTGGTGTTTGAAAGCCTTCCTGAGAGCAAAAACTAGAAATTAAAAAACAGCAACTATACATTGAGTTTTGAAGAAACAGAAACAAGGTGGCCCACACTGGTTTCATTCAGATTTCACACAATTCCAATATTGCAGGGGAAAGAAAATGTGTAATTTTCAAAAAATGCTTTAATACTATTTTTAAAAAGTAATTCATAATACTATTTTCTGTAGTTTCTAGAAACCCAGAAAAAAGAATTCTTAGTGTAAAACAAAAGGTGCATAAAAGAATAAAACAAAGATGTAAGTTACACAGATTTGGAACATGCCACATCACCATTAATGTGTACCTTATAATCTGACTTTTGCAAAGCATATTTATCCACTTATGATGAACCTTTACAAAGTTATATTTATCCAGGAAACAATAAATTGGGGTTATTGAATTTCCAAGGAGCAGGCCAGAAAAACATGTGAAAAGGCCAAGAAATAAGGGTGGACATATTCTCAAAGATGCTAATACCAGAGAAAAATAATTCACAGTTAAAGTTATTCATTACGTAAAGCTACAGCTTCCATGCAATTGATAATGAAAACATAACTGAAACTGCCAAAATGCATATCTCAGCTAAAAAAATCAATTGTTTTAGCTTTATTAGGCAATGAATGAAATGCTATCAAGTCATCTAATTTTATTTATTAAACAGTAAGCTGCAAGGCTACATCTCTGTTAGCCACAGATTTATGTGCAAATAAGAAGTTGATATCATATTTTAAGCAAAAAATATTTACTAAATCAATAGTGAGAATTGCAAACATCAGTGGTTAAGAAAATTAAAAAAACTATTCTAAAGTGTGAAAGTAATCGATCATGGTTTACTTGCCATTCCAGGTTGGAATATGGGACCATGTGAAACACTAGTCTCAGTAACAATTTCACTGGATTCTGCGCTTCTGTACAAACACAACTTCTTTTAAACACAGGTGCAAATACTTGAGTACTTAATACAGAAACTTTCTGTACTTCTTCAGTCAAAGAAATGAAAGATAAAAAACCATGATGATAATAATAATGTGGAAAAAGAGGTTTTTTATTTAGTACCATATTTTGCTCTTCTTTTAACAATTTAGAAGAAAGAAAATTAAAAATATATTTAAGGCAGATTAAACACACCAAAATCCACAAAGATAATAAGTCAATAAATGTATAATATTGCTGAGCATTTCCTGTATTTCTCAGCCTTCTTGGAGACTAACAATAAAATGCTGTGTTACTAAAACAGGCTAATTTTTATTAAGCTAAAGGTCATATGAACTGTAGTCAAGTTACAAAATGTGGTTATTACCTACTTAAAAGATTTGTGTACAATTTTTAAAATTTAAAAGCCTTTAAATATTTGCTTAAACTTAATTTTACAGAAAGGTTAATTACAAGTTTCATAAAATCTTGGAATACTAAATTAATATTTGCATTTAAAATATGATATTAAAATATCATAAATATTAGCTATTCTCCTGGTAATGGCCACGGATTGCCTAGTTTTTTCTCCTTCTCTTTAGTTTCTCTCACTTCGTTTTAATGGTTGACACTTGCATTATTTGCAAACTCTCATTCATGTGATAAGCTGGCATAATTAGTGGCATAAAAAGGTTACTGTTTATGTAGGTGAGGGTAAGGGTATAGATTTGGTGTATTTGGACTTTCACAAAGCATTTGACAAGGTGCCACATAAAAGGCTTGTAAAAAATATTATCTCTATAGGTGTGGGGAATAAGTTAGCTAATTGGACAGAAGGGTAGTTGGATGAAAGAAAGCAGAAGGTTGCTATAAATGGAGTTTAGTCAAACTGGATTAATGTCAGAAGAGGGGAACCTCAGGGCTCAGTCTTAGGACCTTTGCTCTTTTTGATTTACGTCAGTGACATATATGAAGGAATGGTCCATAAATTATTTACATTTGCTGATGATATTAAGGTTTTTGGTGTTGCTGGCTATGAGGAGGATGCTGCTACATAACAAAAGGATTTAGATCATTTAGTGAGTTGGACAAATAAATGGCAGATGGGTTTTAATTATAAAAAAATGAAAATAATGCAAATGGGTTATCATAATTAGAATATTAAGTATAATTTGGATGAGAATAACTTTAACGATGTTACAAAAAAAAAAGATCTTGGTGTAATGTTTGATCAGTCTCTTAAGCTATTCAAGCAGTGTGCTGTTGCTAGTGGTAGGGCAAATAAGATTTTGGGTTATATCAACAGAAATATTGAATACAAGTCTAAAAAGGTTATAATTTCATTGTATATGTCACTGGTTAGGCCACATTTGAAGAACTGTGTACAGTCTTGGGCTCCTTACCTTAAGAAGGACATTGAATTGTTGGAATTGATTCATAGGAGGGCTACTAGAATGGTACCTGGGATGGAGGGGTTGTCATACAAGAGGAAGTTAAGGTAACTGAAACTGATTTCTCTTGAAAAAAGAAGAGTTAGAGGGGATTTGATTGAGGTGTGTAAGACTGCAAAGGGAACTGATAGTGTTGATGCATCATCTTTCTTTCATACTTAATGGTGAGAATAGTAGGACTAGGGGACACAAGTATAAAATTTGGCAGGGTATGAGTCGACTTCAGCTAAGACAGTTTTATTTTTCTAACAGGGTGGTTGGCCTTTGGAATGTGCTCCTTTGGATGTTGTGGAGGCAATAAATTTGAGCCTACTGTGTGTTTTTCTTTGAACAAAACTGACTGAAAACTTCCGTAGTTGATATATCTCTAAAAGTTCCAAGCCTGGACCAAATAAGAAGTCTGTACTTTTATTCTGTAAGTGGCAATGCCAAAGCAGAATCAGAGAGTTAATTTTTAACTCACATCATACTTGTTACCATTTGCAAAACAAACTTTATGTTGACTAACTGAAGGGATATCTCGCTAAGGATACCTAATGTGCACTTTGTCGAGTAAGATCCTGTTTCTCTACATTGTCTAATAGGAATTCATATATCATTATCAGCACATGTCCAATGATGCCAAGTCTATTGTTGTCTTACATAGCCATTATAACTATTGGTGTAAACATGCTGCTGTATCTAATTGAGGTGGCGGTCAAACCCACTTCAGTTCCATTAGAT